ATTCAATTAATGTTAATTCACCATTAGCAAATATCATACAAACATTTTCATTATCAAATGAAAATTTTTCATCACCAGCTGATTGCCAATGAACTTCACAACGACGTTTTTCATCTTCTAAATCAACTAATATAAGTGTATGAGTTGTATAGCCAACAGCATAACGATCACGGCCCATTATTTTAACATCAATGATTTCAAAGCCATTACGGGATACTAAATCTGTTCGTTTTCCGCTTGATTTATTTTCAATTGATACTTGAGATAATGAAACAAAGTTAATCGCATATTTTCCTTTCATACTTGATTTTTTTAAAGAGCAATTAAATAAAAATGTACCACCAGTTAAATTAGCAACAGCAAAACGTGCACCATCTATGTTTAAAAAATAATATCAATAATAGGAGAAAAAGTCGTTCGATCATAAGAATATTATTTTTGTTTACCTGAACGCCAAGCCATTGCTGTAACTGTATACATATTTTTAATTTCCTTCATTGGTGCTTCATCAAACATGCCTTTTCTTGGTTGATATGAATAAAGGCGTATATGATCATAGGAACCAAAAACACATTCTTGACCTATAATAAACAACATTTTTAAATACAATTTTCTCTTCTTCTATGAATCTACGATCATTCAAGAAAGCATATCGTCTCTTGTAGAAATGATATATTTCTCAATCTATTCGCATAGAAGATAAACTCATTGTTTGATGTCTCTATTAGTTCCATCTGCATCCTTTGTTAAATAGATGTAAACAACAAGACATGGACTATTTTACCATCGTCCTATCACGTCATAGATTTATAACTCCTATGTTTGTTTTTATATAGTTTGACATTCTCTTTTATCTATTTCAAACATTTTGTTAAATAGAATAGATTTCGAATAAACACCAATATCTTACCTGTTGGATTACAAATTCCAGTACTAAATTCACGTTCATTTGGTTCTCGACTATAATCAAATTGTTGTAAAATTTTACCATCTTTACTATAAACGACAACACGTCGATCACATCCTCCAACAAGTATACCATGTGTACTCCAAACAAGTGCACATGGAGGACATGAGTGTCGTACAACTAAACCTGATTTATCACCTGTACCTTCATCTTCAATTATAAATCGACAAATACTTCCATCCGCATGACCTGATAATATAGCTTTACGTGAAACATTTGCTGTTAATGCTACAGTATATTGTTCAGCTGTAAATAATGTATGAGATTTATTTTTTTTGACATTTCCTGAACGTATTTTTCCATCGGATAAACCAAATATAATTTGTCCATCAGGTAACCATATTAATGATGTAACATGAGCTGATTGTACAAATTTAGCTACAATAGATTTTTTTTCATTCCAATCAACACCTAATTTATATACAAATACAATATTATCCGATTGTGCTACAGCTAATTGAGTGCTTTCAGGTGAAAAATCCATTGCTGTAACAACATAAGATTGTCGACCATATTTAGAATCTATTGGTTTTGTTGCAAAACGATCACGTAATTCACCTGTTTCATCATATAATTGTACAACACGATCAATACATATAGCTAATTTTTGACCATTTGGTGAAAAACACACAGCTGAAATTTGTGCTTCACCATTCACTGAATCAGATATTTGTTTAAGAAATTTTACTTGCATTTTAATTAAGCTCTAAAATAATTCAAAAAAAATTATTTTCAAATGGAGATAACAAATTCAAAGATCTCAACAAAAAAAGCATATATAGATTTAAAAAAAAAGAATGTTGATTGCACTCTTATTATGAATAGTAATATAGTTTATCATTGAAAATTAGAAGAACTATTCTTCTTTTCTCTTTCTTTGCACTCGTTTAACATCGAAAATTGATTATATAAAATTCTAGAATCACAATTGAATTGCTTCATCCGTTTCATGTTTTCTTTTGTTGTCAAGCAATGAACTCCAAAAGCAATGTGCGCGTCTATTACTATTTGTTCTCGTTTAGCCAATGATGACATTGAATGAATCATCAACAGAAAGAAAGCAAAAAAGACGCTATAATGAAATCCGAACTTCTTATTTGTTGCTGTAAATCGAAAAAGTTTTGTTTTAACTAATCGAGTGATCAAAATAAAAAAGAAGCTGTGAAGTCGCCATAATGAAATTCATAGCTAAGAGAACTTCATTGACATATATCAATACGATTTTAATAAATGTATTCATTTAGTTGCTTGGTTCTCTGTCTGATACATTATCTATCTTTAACTGGTTTACTGTAAAAAAATGGAATGTCATATTAAAGAGTAGAAAACAGATGCTATCGATTCGTTGATGAAATTTCATTATCGCGCTTAAACGTGTATTTTCTAACAGTCGCTTCTTGACATCATCGCGACAGCTATTGACAAATTTTGATGCCTACCTCAAGAATTAAAATCTGTTGATCTTGACAATTAAATGGGATCTTATTATGGAAATATTTGTACGAATATATATTTTTAAAGGTGATAGTTTTGTTTTATCGAATTCATTGACTGAATTCAACTCATTAAGAAGATAGCATGGAATATCTGTTTCTTGAAGTTTATAAAAGATATATTTTTAATTATAGTTAGATTAATATTTTTCTATATTGGATATTATTGTTTGAATTTTTTCATGAAAATAATCTTGATTTATTTGTTTCAATAGAATACATGAAAATTCATAAAAATCTTCATCGTTATTGCAAAATAGTCATACATCAATGATTTAGCATTTTAATTTTCAAATCCCTGTATATGATCTGAAGTGATCGAGCATAGAATTATTTATGGTTTAGCTAATCTTTCAGACTTTAAAAAACCTTAGTGGAGCGTTGTCAAGTTCATAGCATGTTAGACTTTGTATTACATTCGCTATAATGAATGAATTTAATGAAGATTCGATTCTGAATCATGTATTTAGGCAGATCAACCTCTTCTTCGTTGAGGTTTCTGGTTTTATTTCTTATTCATACATTTGTGATTTAGGTGGTGATGAAACATCAAACGATACTAGAAAACAATTGATTGAAGTTTGTCATAGTAAAACATATAATTAATTGCATAAAAAAATTATTGTGCACGTGTTAAGCGAAAGTCAATCAACGGCCTAACAATATATATTGATGAATAGTTAGATGACATGCTAAAGATGTTTATTGGAAAGAAAACAAATCCTAATGCCGTTTTGACATAGCGTACTAATAAATTTTTCGTCTGCTTTTTTTTATTTGTCATTGCTGCATGATTCGTTTTTGTAATGCTATGGATGAGTGTCGGAGGTGTGAGTGTAGGTTAAGAGAAGAGGCGCATCTATATTCAATCATTCTCACACCATGTTTTTTTTTGTAAGTATATTAATTACTTTATATACTTCTTATGCTATAAAACCAATTCAAAATGTTTCAGCTCTTTGAAAATAAATGGTTTTCTTCCCTGATTCCAAATCTATCAATGCGAAAGATATAAAATTTAATTCTTTTTTATTCTCTCGATAGATATTCATAAAAAATGACGGACTAAAAGAATAATTGGAGGTTAGAGAAATCTCGATAAAATTTCACTGACAATAAATGATGAATAATCTGTGTAAATTTACAAAAAACAATCGAAGAGAGTCACTCCAATTTTGGAATAAGTATAAAATGGCTGAAGTTACCTAATCATTTTTACAAATCAAAATATTCTTGACACAAAACAGTTTCATCAAACTTACATGATGTCCAATCGATGACTACAGGTTAAGTAGGGTTAGACAGAAATCAAAATGATATTTATCATCTACAAAAAGAAAATAATTTTAGAAAAAAGAATCAAATCTGCACGGTCTCATATACATTTCGATGGATGTAAAACAAAATGGTCAAGGCAATGTTCTACTTTCTGATCAATTTTCTGATGGTTCACTAAGAATCTCGAAAGTTTTGAGAGACCCATGGGAGATTTAATCAGATATCATACACAGGAAATTCTATAAATATACGATAGATATTTCATTAACCTTCAAACAGAAGTCTTTCAGTGTATTTCTTTCGAAATATGTTGTTTTTTTATATTTTCTCTTCATATTCTCATGGAATGTCTCGTTGCTCTCGTTTTAGAATAGCATAAAAGAGGGGTTCTCTAAAATATGTTTTATATAGTTCATCTATCAGTTTGGCTCATTTCAAAAGAATTGAGATATTTTTAATTTGGTTGCAGCAACTGCTTTTATATAATTAACATTCAAAAAAAACACTTGCAATCTTTAAATCTATTGCATATGATTGATAAGCAAAATTAAATATGAGACGCTTTCAGAATCTGCTCTCAATTATTCTTTTATTAATATTCTGTGAGAGGAAGATTGTAGATGAAAACATACAAGCTCTACGTACCATACCTTGCCTGGAGAACAGTCACAAGGTCGTTACATACATACGAATGTAGCTAAGTAATATTTAAATTTAAAAGATTCAATTCTGCAGTAGATGTTGATTTGAAGCACTTTTTATGATAAAGATGCCTGCTTGCAACAGGTTACATAGAATGAAAAAATTTTTGTAGCACCAATCAAAGGCATTTGCATGGTAAGAAAGATTTGCAGCAGAATATTTTTTTCTTCCATCTTATATCTCAGTAACTGTTTGCTTTTTCGTGTGTGTATTAAAAAGAATACTACACAGAAGTGTCCTTTTTCAGTTATTCTAAATAACGATACTGGAAGCAATGAAAAAAATGGTCTATGGAACAGAAACAATCTATTTTTATATTTTCAATTTGACTAAAGAGGCCACTCATAAAACAATTAACTGTATAGGAAAAGAAATTATCGATTGAAGTATTATTGTTGGTTTGCATAAGTATCGTTTTTTTCTAAATAAAACAAAAAAATACAAATGTGGATGAGTATGAATGAAATGCTGGTTTACATCCACATCCGACTGAAGTAGCTAAAAAAAGTACAACAAAACTATTCTTCCACCGAACTCACATGGAAATGTACGCCTACATATCAACACATGCTCTTATCAATTGCAAATTTTTGCACACGATGATTACTAGGATCAACTACGTAAAGATTTTCTTCAATATCGAAGGATAAATTAGTGGGATTATCAAGTTGATCAGGCTCGGAATCTGGACCATGACCACCAGCAATGATACTGCCTGTTGTAGCACCACGCGGCCATCGTATTATTCGTCGATTATCAGTATCAGCCACATAAACAGTGCCCAACTGATCGACAATAACACCATTGGGAAATGCCAATTGATCTGCACCGTTGCCATGAGAACCACCAGCAGCAATCAATATTTTCTTTGTTTCGAAATTTAGTCTTAGCACTCGATGATTGGCATTGTCGGCCACATAGATCTCTCGATTTCGATCTACAAAGATGTCAAGAGGGCAGCTAGAATCTAAATTCATTACTTGTTCGTTAGTAGCACCAGGAAGCCATTTTGATACTTCGGCCCTTTCTGGAACGGATACATAGTGTTCCTTGATCATCTTGTGCTATATCATGAACAGAAATATTTTTTATAACTGTTTGTCCACTTTGAGCGTCTCGAAACCATTTTTGAACGCGAAAATTATAACTGTCACTTATGTACAGAGTTCCATCTTGTTCAACGACAACATCAAACGGATAATACAGTTGATTACTATGATCGTCTGCTCCATTTCCACCGGCAACTAACTGCCCACTAGTCGCATCACGAATCCATTTGACAATACGATGGTTTGCAAAATCGGCAACATAAACAGTTTGATTTTCGTCAACAAAAAGTCCAAAAGGTTGATCCAATTGGTTGAGCCCATCTCCAACACTATTACCACCAGCGACTGTAGTACCCATTCGAGCCCATGTTGCATCTGCACAAATACCATCACCAGGTTTAGGTCTCACTAAATGAACAAAATATAATTCATTTTTTGAATTCGTCCACATCGATGTGTTACCTTACAGATAAGTATGTGTCGATTATGTCTACACTACATGTTAATAAATATTAACTATGAAAATGGGTGACAACTCTAAGAAAATTGATCAGAAGAATAATCAGAGACGCATAGCATAGGAAAGAATGTAATACTTTGAAATTGTTGACTATACGCTTGTTTCAGTAATTTTCAATCGAACAAAACTTTTCTTTCATCGCAAGATCGATTTTCAGTTTTTATGCAACGAGAAATTTCACGTTCGAATTAACAATACACTCAACAACGTAGTATATCTAATAGGATCACAAGCTATGAGAAGATTTCAATAAGATTGAGAACAAGATAATAACAATAACTGACTGATCGGTTTCAAAAACCAGAACAGTCGAGAGACACAATGGTGAAATCATTGTAAGAAATGACGTAGCTTGTTAAAAAAAAGAAGTTATTCGTTGGCATCCGCTTTTGGTGCAACGATAGCCAAGGCCATCAAATCGAGTTTCATATGCGTCCATGACAAGAACAAATGCAAGTAAAGTCTTGTCTTCATCTGTTGACACAAACTACTTGATTACTTCTTTCATTCTCAAAAAAAAGGATGAATCGATTCAAAATATGTCCCTTTTTTGCAATTACATTGATTCATCAAAAAACTATTTTTGAAATTCTCTTTTATTTTTTTTACCGGGACAGAGTCGTTCATCTGTCATCGACAATGGATAGCAAACTGGACGAACATTACATCGAGGATGATTAACACAGACATGATCAGGTTGATAACAAGCATTAGTCGAAGGCTCACAGGAAACCAGTTGAGAACAAGTTAACCGTAGACTACCACAAATGCCACTGCAATTAGTAGTAGACCTATGCAGACAGCCACACTGACTATTAGTTGAACAACGACCATATTGAGCCATTCCATGACACATTTCAGCGTGGACTCGAACTATATGAATAACTCAGTGAACAAATGAAAACAACAAATCGAGAACGAATACAACCTGTCTGGCTAAAACGCAAAGTAATTACATACACCAATGATTGGAAATAAGAAATCTTCATTACCTGAACAGAATACAGAGAATATAATGACTTGGTAATGAGATCATAGCTTGTATTCATACAACACAATGGCACCAGTTTGCTGATTTGCAGTACAAAAGTGAGGTTTTAGTCTAGAAATATATGCATACATTTTTTTTCGACCTTCAGAACGTGCACAATATATCTTGATGATCAATAGAAATTCGATACTCTATGTTTCTAATCCCTAATCGAATGAAAATAAAAATGATTCTCATAGAATAGAGAAAAAAATCAGCAAAAGATCAATATTCAATTTCAACAAGTTTGCATCGTCATTTAATTTATCATTGATTCTTGAAGGTATGAATGTGAAGCTGAGTATGAGTGTTAACATTCTTATTACCCACTTATACCTACACCCATACTCTTTGATTCTATTTTTCAGAGAATGAAAGTCACAAGTCACATGTTTGATCTGGCATTGGCATGTGCAGTGTTGTAATTGACAATCTCCATTCTTTGTCGAGTGAGTATTTCTTTCAATGAGATAACAGAATGAAAAAAAATTGTGTTCATCACGAAAACACTTAAGGCATTTTACAATTGTTTCTCGATTAACGGGCTGGAACTCTTCAGTGATATTATTGGAATGACATTTATACTTGTTTCATTATTTGCACATTCATCAACAATATTCTCGCCGATAGTATCTATATTGAAAGGTTGATTTAGAAAAACTCTTTGATGCAAAAATTTGCTTGTTCTACAATCGGTCTTCTTCTCATTTGGTCAAAATAACCGAAAATGTACAAATTTCATTAAGCTATGTGTGCTATATAGTAGCATGATTTAAACTTTGCAGGAAACTCCACCATGCAATATGTTCTGTATGTTGAAAGAGTTCTTTTGTGAAATTCAAGCATATTTTCGAAGACAATAGTGCCTGAAAGTATAAATCGAGGTTTCGCAGGTCCCCCCTTGGGTTCACCCCATTACAGACCTTAGCAGTTCCCACATTCCTTCCAGAAGACACCAGCAACTGTAAGAGAGGGAAGCCAAAGATTATTGAATGCGTTTCCATATCAACGAAAATGGTGAATAACTAATATTAGTGCTTCTCTCATTCTGAAACTCTGTGGGTTCTAGTCATTTAGTCTAAATGCTGCGGTTTTAGGTTTTCCATGTAGCGAAACGGTTCTATTGTAGGAGTGTGATCCGGTGTGAGATGTGAGTGTGGATGTTATTTTTCTTTCTTACTTTCACACTCGCATCCACATCCTACACCCACACCTACTCATAACTTGAATATAATCACAGATTAGAAGTGAACATGCCATGTGATCATATATATCTACATGCGCTTCTAGGCAACTGAATAGAGTTTCTCATTTTCTTGTACGTTTTTTTATCTTTAATCGAATGCGTATCTGCTCGTATGTTTCTTGACTTAGTGTGACATTAATAAGTGTAAATAATTTGTAAAAAGTCACTCCAAGAAGTCTATATTGAACCGTATTGATACCATCAAGTCCAAAGTCGTATTGTGAATGAAGTATTTCGAATCGATGAGGATTCACTGGAGCCGATATGTGCTTATTTGAAAGGATCATTTTGTATCGAGCAATTTCAATAGGATATCTTATTATTGATTTTTTCAATTTGTAAACAACACGCGAATACATATCATCGTCTTCACCACCCCAACCCCAATAAACATTCGAATAGCCATTCGTGCCAAGAAAATCATCAGTGCTAAAAGCTGTAACACCACCGAAGAATTTCGGATAGATTAGTTTGTAATCAAATTTATCCATCGCTGAAGACCTAAATAAGAGATAAAATCGGCAATAACCGATTGAAAGATTCACTCTTAGTTACTTACATATGGCGAGGTTGATCGGTACACGTGTAAATATTTCTTATATCTTCTGGTAACAAGTCAACATCATGAAAGATGAAGCAAGTAAATGGATAATACTTTTGTGCTTCAATAAAGCCTATATTGAATAGTTCTCCTCGATTAAACGATTCTTGCCCATGTTGATTCACAAGAAATATCGTGTAATCGAGTTGTTGCTGTTGAAGAAATGGATGTAGATTGCCGAGAAGCATTTTAAAATGTTGCTCACGATTTCGATAACAAATAATAATGGCAATGCGTTGCTCAGCTTGACATCTTGATGGAAACCAGTGACCACCAGGATGAATATCAGAGCCGTATTGAGTTTCAAGCACGTCATATGAATACAGCATTCGGCGAATGAACACGCTGTAATTCGAGGATATATTGTTAGTGTTCGTTGTGAGCACAGTTGAGCAGTTGGGCAACATAAGATATGTGTTCGAATACGGCAACGAGAAATTCATGTAAGAGAAATAGGACGCATTTAAAAATGGTGTTTGATTCTCAGTTTTTATTTTTAATGTGATATAGTAAACGATTTGCATAAAGATAATGAAACAGGTGACTCCATAGACAATTCTTCCCTTCGGAAACATAATCAATGATGAGATTGCTAGGAATTGATGTCTGAAACACATATATGTATGACTCGTCCAAATCATGTAGAACATGCAAATAACATTCATCATATATAACTCACACACGATCATCGTAAAACGATTACTTAGAATTGAGTTCATTAAAATCCCTCCAAAGATCAAGTCTCGTCAAAAATTCGATTT